CACCACGTGACTACGTCACCTACTGTCAGGCTCAGAGACTAAGTGGGCACACTTCACCTTGCGGTGAGTGTGTTTGCTTTCATCTAGAAGACTCCGCGCCTCTTGAAGCTGAACAAGATTATCTCTCTTTCTCGAGGTCGGACTCTAAGTGGGCACGCTTTGTCCACTGCGGGGAAATTTTCGATTTTGAACTTGAGATTCTTACACCCTTATGGCAAGTCGTACTTGGGTTACACTGCTCGGCGACGGTTCATGCTGCTCGGCGACGGTTCACGCTGCTCGGCGACGGCTCACAACTGGTCGGCAACTCATCACGGTGGTCGGACCATGAGTTTGACTGCTCGGCTTTGTTCGCACCTGCTCGGACAAGCTCAAGACGGCGTTGCACTACGGATGTAAGGCGCTCAGGGACTAGCTGTGGGGGGTACGACCCCGGATACCCACGGCAGATCACATGGGCTGCGCCCCCAGGGGTGGCCTAGTCCATAAGATGAAGCCTTGTAGGGCACGACGCTGCTCGGCGTCTCCCGCAAGACACCGGGAAGATATCCTGAAGATACTACGAGATCTGTTAGGATACGTATGATCCCATGATTCCTGTAATCTGTTATTACTTTCCGGTTATCTCCTAGATCTAACCGACTTGTAACCCTGCCCTCCAGACTATATAAGGTGGGCAGGGACCCCCTCCAAACTCACGTAAGATCATACGATAGCCAATACAATCCAACAGACTACAGGAGTAGGGTATTACGTCATACTGACGGCCTGAACCTGTCTAATTCGTGTGTCTCTGTTGCCTTCTTGTTCTCGATTACACGCATCTCTGCCAATCAATCTACCTTCGTGGGATACCCCTCGGAGGACTGTCGACGATATTCGGTCGACAAGAAGGATGTGTACATGCTTTCATAGAAGGTGAGTATGCATACATGTTTAAAAGTTTTCAGGAGTTTGGTATAATTTACTTGCTAAACTAATAAATCTAGCAAGTTAATAAAGAAAGTAATAACTTTAAATTTTGTTCCTCTCCAACAGTAACTTATAATAGCTTTCTAAAATTTAAAAATATGTAGCAGGTTCCACATCTATTTGTCTTTTTGTTTACCAGAGCCGATCATGTCTTTCACGGCGACCGCCATCGTCATACATCACGTCAGGCATCCTTTTTTGAGCCCTGTTCGCCTGATGGTTTCTGCGGCTGATAAGTCGGCTGAAACTGATTTGTTGTGAGAGAAAAATACTATTCCATGGTTGATAAACGTTGATACTTCTCACGGTCAGATGTCCTTGCTTGGCTACTATTGTCTAATGGCGTCCCGGAGAAGCATTGCTGCTATGCTATGCAAGACAAAGGACATGCGGAGGCAGGTATGTACCGGCGGTGGCCGGACCAAAGGCCGGCGAGGAAACAGATCAAGCCAACAATAGCACGATAAAAAATATCTCTCGCACGAGAAGTACTATAAAAATAGGTTCACAGAGGAGGGTCAGGGAACTTATGATTTGAGAAGAATATCTGACAACTTTTTAATTTTAAATAGCTCTTTTGGCAGACTCACTATAAGAAATAAGGTTTTAGTCGACGGTTTATTATCTGTGACGGTTTATTTTTTTTAGGTGACACGTATATAAGGACGGATATAGTTGTCGGTCACGGTTAAACGTCACATCATAGTATACCTATTACCCTAGCGTATATAAGCAGAGCCAAAAACCCTCAATCCTGCCTCCCTCCCCATTCTCTACCAGCCGCCGCCCGCACACCATCCCAGCTCCCTCCGTTCTGACCAGGTGCTGCCCCCATCCCACACTACACCGTGGACGTGGCCTAACAGCGCGCGGGCGGATGTGGCCCGGTGGTGCGTCGCTCCGGGCAAGCTCGTCTTGGTGATTCGCGGGTGGACGAGGCATGGTGACACACGGGCAGATGCGGCGACCTGGCGGCGCGCAGCGCGCGGCTCCGGTCGGACGTGGCCTGGCGGCGCGTAGCTCCGGCCTCCCTTCTCCCAATCGATCTGGGCGCCGGGCTGGGAAGCGAGCCCGCCTGCAGCCCTCCCAGCCGTGGTTGCGCGGGAGGGAGGAGTGGGCGTGAGCGGCCGCTCGGCTCCGGTCACCCGTCGATCCACACAACCATGGTAAGCGCGCCTCTTCTCGTCTGGTTAAGGTTCGTACGCGGATCTATGCGCAAGCTCGATGGCGCCGGGGGTTCCTGAGAGCGTAGATTTGTGTCGAAAAATTGTTGATTGGAGCTTATGTTTTTTGGGCTGGTACATCGCAATCTAGATTTAGCTTTCGCTGAATTAGTTGACTGTACTTTGTACTCCTGAGTTCAAGACTGAAATGGTGTAATTTTGTTGCGAATTTAATCACGATGTGTCTGTTCTAGGTGAAGTTGTTTAGCTCCCAAATGCAATATTTGAGATGTGGTGTTAAAACTGTAGAGATATTGATATGACCAAAAACTACTACTTACGAACTTAAGAGTTAGAGTAGAGATGCTGATTACCTACTTATATGAACTAAAGAGTCTGATTCACATAGAACTATGGTGCTTGTCACAGATTCGCACCAGCTAATTTATTCTTTAGCTACTGATTTATAGAACTTGCATTTGCTGATCTAGAGTTTAGACCTTTCTGTTTTGTGACCTTATTATCCTATGCTGCTCTAATGCACTAACCTGACTTTATTTGCTGGCAATTGTGGCTTTAATTGCCTTAGTCATTTACAGGCAGAAACTAATTAGATTTAATAAGTACTATGTGAAACATTGTGCAACTAGCCTCTCTGAAATTATAATAATTTGCAGATGTGTGAAACACCACTTCATGTTGCTGCTGGCTACAATAATACAGAATTAGTCAAGTTCCTGCTTAACCAGCAAGGTGTGGAAACAGTTGTCTGGAGGCAAAGGACATGGTACTTAAGTTGCCACATTTCTTTTGCATCTGATTCGGTACTCTGCCACACTTCTTTCATGCATGGAGCTTAATACATATATCAATTATCTTATTTTTTAACAGTATGGAGAGACTCCTCTGATCAAATACAAGAAGCTGGGTACCCTGATGGAAAAAACCATTAAAGCTGAAGTAGCCCATGACACAGTTAACCTGCCATTTCCGTGTTCATCAAAAAGGTGATTTCTTGCTGCATTGTGACTCCAACTAAATATTGCAAGCTAGAAAAATATTTGGATTAAGAATAAATTAGAACTATCCAAAGGTGTTTTCTGTCATGTATGGAGTCACGCCTGGCAGTTTTTCTTTAGAACATTTGCTAAATTAAACCAATAGCTATATGTTTTTCTTTAGAATTCTGCTAGTTCAATCCTTTACAAAGAGTTCTGCTAGTTAATACATGCTAACTTAGTTTTGGATTCTGCTAGTTAAATCCTTGCTCCACAACAAAAGTTTGGCTTGCTCAATGGTTGTTGTGCAAACTGTTTATTTGATCCTATTAGTGAACTTTGCTGCTTGCTCAATAGTTTAGGCCTAGATCTCAACTAGGATATACCATAATACCTTAGTATTGACTTTATGCTTTATACCAACCCAGATCCTGGAGAAAGTTATTCAACTTTCTTTAGCTGCTGCTAGTTGGATTTACTTGTGCTCTCCAATTTACACATCATCACCTAAATTTGCAATTTACAGTACTGCCGATTGTACTTCTATTCTGTTGACGAACTGATATGCTAAAGTTCAGCTATGTTTTCTGATGCAAGGCTTTGCATTCTGTTTGTCCTGTACCTCAACGACTAACTGTGTTTTCTTTGTAGGCGTTTGATGAGGCTATCTCTGAATTGCGGCGGAGGATCAAAGTGCCCATGGTGGCTATTTTTGTTAGTGACAATGGTGGATATTTTTGTTAGTGATGAAAGATTTTGTTGTGCGAGCAAATTATATGAGTTGTGTGTTGTAGCCAACATCTTAGTTTTGTAGGTACTTGAGTGTAGCTTAGTTATTGACTTAGATTTCCTGTGAAAAATTGTACGAGTACAAATGTTGATGGTTTCAATGAAAATGATGAGCAATGTTTCGTCAATTGTGAGCTTTGTTTTGGCTTATGTGTTTCATGAGTGACTTAATGTGTGACAAGGTTAATGTTGATTCTATCGTTAAAGCTGTGATGATTTGGCACAAATTTATGATGTTTCTTTTCGTCACTATGGTTTGGATCTGTGCTTGGATATGGGCTGGTTATAGGAGACAGACAACTAATTTTGACGATCACAAATGCCAATCTGTGACGGCTCAATTCGGTCCAGCAAATGTATGACACGAGATACATGACGGTTTATTTTATTGTCATGGCAAGTTAACCGTGACGCGTTTTCGACCGTCTGTAACCAAAGTAATCCGTCATATAAAGCCTTATTTCTTGTAGTGACTGTTGGAGAAGACTTTTTTCTCTCTTTGCTAAAATATCGAAGATAGGGAGTTGCTTTACCAAACCCTAGAGATGCTCATCGGCAATATATATTGTGCTTCGCAAGAAAAAAAAGTGATAGATAGAGAAGAAGATGAGATGATTCATCTTCCTCCAAAATCTAACAATTTTGAATATATGAACTAACTTAATTACAGGCTCCAGCAATTATGTGTTCCACATGCATATAGAAATCAATATACTTGTATCTCATATTCTCATCACAAAATCCAATAATCATAAGCATCTCACATACAGTACATATAGAAGAAGAAAGACTCATATCGAGATATTTATATGACTCGATATACCTAATACCAAGACCATGCAAAAATATACCGTAATAATCCCTGGCAATTAAGAAACGTAACACAACATGACGTAGGAAGAGGAACCGACGATCGTCGTCTCACCTATGTGTGCTTTAAATTTCCAGCTGTTGGTCGGTCGTCATCTGGAGCACGCACACGTTCATGACTCGATCACTCATCAGCATATGCGGCTATGGACAAGGACACCAACGTCGAAAGATGCCTGCCTCCGTCACCATCCGCCGCTTACGCGCCTCACACGGGACAATCCGCGCCGCCGCCGCCGCCATCGTCCTTGGCGTCCCTGCTGGACTCATCGGCGGCGGCGGCTCTGGGGGCCACGACGCTGGCACGGCAAAGCGGGCACGTGGCGTCGAGCCGCAGCCACGCGCCCACGCAGTCGGCGTGGAACCGGTGCCCGCAGCGCGGGAGGAGGCGCGCCGAGTCGCCGTCGCGGAGCTCCACGATGCACACCGCGCACTCGGGGGCCTTCCCGCTTTCATCGCCGGCGCCGGCACTGCTGGAGTACACGTACACGGGCAGCGCCGACGCCACGTCGTCGACCGGCTGCAAGCCGTGGTCCTTTCTGCTGCGCCGATGGCGGGACGCCGCCCATGCCCACGGGGAGGCCACGGGCAGCGACGCGGATGACGACGCGTCGTCGTCGTCGTCGCCGGCGCCGGTTGACGCGGACGGCCCTCGTTTCCCGGAGAAGTACCGCCAGAAGAATAAGATGAGGAGGATCATGAGCACGTTGATGCCCACGACGCAGGCCGTCAGCACCGGCCCGTGCGGCGCCCAGTGGCTGCTCGTGTCCTCCACCGCCGGCGCCGACGCCGCCGCGGCCAGCGGGCGAAGGCCGCTGCCGCTCCCGACCGTGGACGACATGGCTTGTGCGCCGACGAGATGGAGATGCTGGTGTTGCACAACCCAAACAGAAGATAGTGGCTGCCAATGGGGTGCATAAACCACCAAACGTAAAAACCGATTTAAGAAACTGTCAACGCGTCTACGCAATAAAGAAGATGATCAAGTTTGCAAATCGAATTGGGAAGAAAAAGATCACCAAGATCGTTAGATCGATCTCTGAGAAAAAAAAATCGCAAATAAACGAGAGATACGAAGGAGAGAGGAAAAGGCAGCAAACAAGAAAGGTTGCAAATGAGGAAGGTGGCGTGGAGGAAAGCGGAAGAGAGAGGTTTATAGAAGGTAGAAGCGGGGGAGGTAGCTTTGGCTGGCCTCTTGGGGTGTGGAATGGCGCTGAGCTGGTTAATTAAAGGCCAAAATGGTGGGTGTAATTCCCACATATGGATCCCCTACTCTTGATTGACTACATATGTATCTGAAATTAATTACATGGTTGACTTACTGATCTAAATAAGAATATTTTATGGAACCATATTTTATACATATGATTGATAGATACAATTGTGAATGTCATGTATCTCCTACAACTAAAAAGAACAAAGCGTGGACATCTTTTGGTGCGACATTTGTTTTGGTTCGTACGTCTGCCCACCCCGTGCGATACCCCGCGCGATAGAAAAAGAAACTGTCATCCCTACGATCCCCGCCTGCTTTGAAGGAAACAAATCGATCACCTGAGGCCATATGCATAGAAGGAAATAATAATCATGCATGGAAGGAAACAATCATGCATGGAAGGAAACAATAATCATGTATGGAAGGAAACAATAATAATTTACTCTTTTTTCAAATAGTTGTCTTCGTTTCGGAGCCCTTCGTGCAGTTTAATAATGGCTGGGGAGCTAGGCTTGCGAGAACTTACTCTTAATTGGATTACGAGCTAGGGATGTAGCACTTCAATGAGTGTCTTGGTTGAGTTCTACAATTGTCAAAAATTGATGGTGCTGATAAGATTGATAATCATGTAACTCTACGGTACCTTTTTTTCAAAAAAAAGAGGGCAAATGCTACTTATGATCGAATCCATATTTTTTTTTGTTTTGATTTGAAGCCCACATCCCACATGTTAACTTAAGGTGTGTTTGTAAAGAATCAAAAGAAGTTGGACTAATACCAATCTTTCTTGTGGTCTTTTTCATTCTTTATATTTATACTAGGTAGCGTGCCCGTGCGTCGCTACGGGATAACTAACAATTTATACTAAAAACACACGGATTGCACGATAAGATAACAATGCTGTAAAAATTAAATACCAACGTTAAAGGGACATTTAATCTAAAAAACAAAGTTTATGAATTTAACGCAGTCACGGAGTGCAAGGCGTCGTAGGCTCACAAACTCTACTCTATAGACCTTTCCGTGATGCAGCTAAGATAATGTTTTATATTGGCAGGAAGAAATCTTCGATATCCATTTCTTTCATTGTAATCCATTTATCTGGACAATATTTGAGGTGAGGGCACATTTACAGTTTTTAGTAGCTTTGCGATATTGTCCGAAGCTATGAGATGATTGATGTCTTGCAATGATCCTTTCGTTAATTTAGTTTTCTATCTATATTTAATTGTTTGTTCAGTCTATTTTATAGGCACGCCGATAGATAATGGATGACAAAATTCAAGCATCCATAATTTATCTCTTTGACTTTGAGCATGAGTTTTGTTTTTATTTTTTAATTGATATATTGTCCTTTTGTTTTTACCGTAGCGTTAGCACAGGCATGCATGAAAAACGAAGATGTTTTTACATTGCAGAAATCTTTCAAGAAGATCATGCATAGATTATTCTTGTATTAAATATTATATATATACAATCACCTAAATATTCTAATTAAACTACAAAATTTTGAATTAGGATACGAGGTAAGACATGCAAATAGATATTTTAAAACTACCTGTAGAGTTCAAAGAACTTAATAAATAAATCCATCTGAAGGCAATGCAAATTCTCTCTAATCTTTAATTTGGTGTAGTTAGTGTTATCATAGTACCCGCATGTATTCATGGGAAATAAATCGTGGACAAAACGTGGACACTTTTTGGTGCGATATTTCAACATGGATCCATCGTCCTGCCAATATCCTTGAGGCAGATCACATAAAGAATGAGAGTCCCTCTGTGAGATTGCTCACAAGAGACTAAAACTTATATCTGATCATGGTAATGTTGAATTACTTTGCATCAAAAGCATCGGCAATGATAAACGAGGACATAGGTTTTAGTATGCATAGTGGAGGAAAACTCAACATTGGCCTTCTCAGCAGCTTTTCTGAGCTTTTATAGTATTAACTTGTCATTACTCAGATAGTCAAGAGGTGCACCATAAAATTATGCACCACTAAGAAAAGTGTCACCATTGGTTACTTTGACCTGAAAAATATGTCGAAATTAAAATTACAACACCTAATTCAACATCTTGAAACAGACACTCAAGTGGATACCTTATTCTACAATATATGTCTGTGTGGAATAGTCCTAAAGCCACACATATTTATACAGTGAGTATAACATACTTTGTTTTAAAATTTTATGAGAGATTTTTTTAAGACATGCAATATTATCCATGTGACAGGCACTAATATTTACATATATACTCGAACCTGTGTGTATAGGATTATATGGAGATGCAGCGGAACTTATTCATGAATTTATTGGCGCATGAAAGAAATTGATATCGGAGAATTCTTTCTGCCGATATAAAATATTATCTTAGCCATATCACGAAAAAGTCTATACAGTAGAGTTTGTGAGCCTGCGACGCCACGCTTTTCCGTGACTATATTAATTTCACGAACTTTGCTTTTTGAATTAAATGTCACTTTAACGTCGGTATTTAATTTAACAGTATTATTATCTTATCGTGCGATCTGTGTATTTTTAGTACAAAAGATTTAGTTGTTCCGTAGATCAAAGGTAGACGTTGGACCCTGGGTCCATTTGTAACGTTCCCACAAGGTTGGACCCTGGTTATTGGCTAAGTACAATTATGAATTGATGTTTCTTTGCCGGAACACACCATAGCCATTATTTTAATCTTTTCCGTCGTTTGGGAGAGAAACTTTACAAAATGACGCTCGTTGCCACTGGATCGATCACGAACCCGAACTGCACACTTGAGTTTGGTTGAACCGTACCACGTCGGCCATAGGCGCACTTGGTTAAACCCTAGCCCTCTTTGCACTCGGCCACAGGCGCCGCCACATTTCTTGTCGCGCGTCCACTAAGCTCCGGCGACCACCTGGCTTCCGCCGCCTCTTCCGCCACAGCTCGTGCCCGTGGTTTGATGGACGTCTCAGGATGGTGTCACCGGCAAAAGTGAAGCGCTTGCACCCAAGTATAGATTCCCCTCCGAAGGGGCTCAATCTAGCAAGCAGATGGGGAGCAAGAATGCCAAGAAGAAACTTGTCAAGGACCTGCTCAAGTAGATTATGTACTGGAGTATGTCCAAAGCACCTGATTTTGTTAAGATGTGATGTCAAGTACCTTCTTTTGAGTTTGTGTTAAGATGTCATGTGAGACTTGTTGCTCTAGTTTAAGACTAGTTGCTGTGATGTCAAGTACCTTTAAGATGTTACGTTAAGTACTGTCAAACAATTGTGGCATCTGTGTAATATGCTTATGTCAACTACCCATCTTTCTATTACATCTGTGACACTTGGTTCACATAGTCAATTTTCAAAACATATTGCACACAGTCATATTGAAGGATAACAACTCATGACATTTCAGATAGAGTTCACATAGTCACTGGAGGATAACCCATTACAGTGCATCAAGTGCCTGCAACAGTTACATAAGGACTGAGATACAAATGCTTAGAGACATTACTTGAACATCAAAACCATCAGAACCAACACTACAACTAGCAAGTTTGCCAGACCAAGGTTAAGCAGACGCTCTCCAATCCTATCCATCTTGTTGCAAACAATGGCTTCAGTTTGAGATGCAGCCTTCAGTTTTGCCTCCACATCTTTCAGAGACATGATTGCGCTCTGTGGCAAACCAGTGCAGGTCTCAACGCCTTCTACGGCTGCTTTCAGCATGTCATGGGCATCCTTTGCCATGTCTGCACCCACCGGCACCTCTACAGTTCTAATCCGATTGCAAGAGCGAGGAAGGTGGCCCTTAAGAACCAAGTATTCGACATACTCTTGTTCAAACATGTACACGCCGCATGCAAAGTCAGTCTGCAAAACCCATATTGCAAATTTAAAACGACCATTGCAAACAAAATCGAAGATCGACGCAACAACAGTCACTTACATGCTCCAACAAAGGACACTTGTAGAACCTCTTCCCCTTGCTGCCTACCTTCTGCGACACCCAACCGATGAGCTTCGTCCCCCACTTGGAGCACGGAACCAAGGGCAAGAACCCGGCAACATCCCTGAAGGGATCAAGCTCGGGAGCGGGGGCAGACAGTGCCGCGGAGTACGAACTGGATGCCACCGCTAGGGGCCAAATCGACGGATCTAGGGTACCAGCACCAAGAAACAGAGTTCGGAGAGGGAGAGAGATATAGGGTACGGTTGGGGATGGCAGGAGGAGGAAGACGACCGGCAGGTCGCACGACTTGGTTCAACTGAACCATATAAGTGCGCTAGCTTGCTAGGGGCAACATGGTCCATTCACTACAGATTCGCTCTTCCAAACGATGGAAAAGAATAAAATAATGGTTGCGGTGTGTTCTGTCAAAGAAACAACAATTCATAATGGTACTCGGCCTATAATCGAGTTGGCGGTGTCCAGCGGCAAGTAACACTATTCTTCAGTGTCTTTGAGCAAAATTTGCGTAACTAATATTATTTGATTGATGTCATACAGAATATGGAATTTCAATGGGAAGATACTGAACAGAAAACATATGTGGATGGCATTCTTGCAAAAATGGAAATGTTTTCTGGATGGGAAATATATTGCGTCTCTAGTGACAAGACGACACACAGAGCATAAAACAGGAGG